GAAAAAATGATCAAAAAAAGCCGCGGCTCCGCGAGACAATAAGGAAGTTCCACTGAGCGCGTCACGCGTCGCGTCGTCGAAGGAGAGAAAGAGAGGGGTTATGTATTTATATAATCTTATCTCTTTCTCTCTTTCATAATGTGACGCGTGACGCGCTCAGTGGAACCGTACCATAAGGCTCGTGCGATCGTTTATGTCTGTCTTTTCTCATTCCATTAGGGCTGCGTTCGCTTTACCGCTCACAGCGCTTGTGAGCATCAATTGTTCTTGTTTAATATTTACAACAAGAATGAAACGACGCTTAAAGCGTTGTGAAAGTCAAAGCGAACACAGCCCATACATACATATACGAGATAAACTAATGGGACTCGCGGAGTCAGGAAACGTATTTTATTTTATTCGAGTGACTTATTCGATCGTGGAAAGTGTATCTTTTCATTCTAATGAGCTCACAAGATAAGTATTTCGCAGATTGTTATTTAAATACGATTACGTTAATTGTATTTTAACGTTAATCGTATTGTTTCTAACGCTAGTTTTATTATATTTGATTCGGTATTGTATAGATAAAAGAATTTTTTCAGATATCTAGGATCCAGATTTTTGTTTTATTTAGTGTAAAAAATAGAGTATAAATTTATAGATTTCGATTATTACTTGCGCGATTGTAATAAAACGATAGTAATAAAACATTAAATAAAAGACAATAAGCAATAACGTCGAATCAAGTGCCGTATAGATAGTTTCTATGATAAATGTGTATATAAAGATTGTACAAATGGAAAATTTTCTCATAGAAAACATTTATATAGATTTCCATTACAAACAGACGAGAGACTGAATTTATGGATACGTAATAGTGGTAAGTTTGTATATATTAACTTTAGAATGCAAAAAATTATTCTGAATTTTGGTTGCAAAGCTTGTTATTAAAAATAGGTGGTAAAAGGGACATTCCGAAAAACAGTAAATTACCAAATGTCGAGCAAGTAAAATTTCGTACAGACGTGTCAGATTGACATGTTCATTAAACTTTTTTGCAGATATCAAATTGCACTATTTTTTTTCTTCAATTCTTCATTTTGAAGTGAGCAATCTTAAAAGGATTTTTTGATAAAAAGTTACAAACATTTAAAGAGACAAGAAAAAACTAGCTTTTTCTTTTATTTTTATTCAAAGTCATCAAAATCATTAAAAATAAAATATTTAATAAACAATGTTTATCAAAGTAGTTATGAAATCATCAACTATAATGTTGACAAACGTTTCATGAATTTTTTCAGATTTTTTTAAGACCAAATAATTATAATTAGAGCCCGGACTTGATATGATTTTCCATCTCGCGCACGAAGTACCGCTGCGCTGTAGCGTGTGAATGAATCGGACCAGTCAGGCGTCCGCTGAAGTGAGATAAAATTTGTTCACATTCAGCTTACCTACTGTGCGCATAGATGCTTTGCGCGCGATGTGGGAGATTACACGAACGTCTGAGCCCTAATTATAATGAAATACTATTTTTAGTAACAAGCAATAAATCAGTGAAAAAGAATATGTTTAACATCGGTATACTCGTTGCACTTCTATTAATTTATTAGACGCGTTGCACTTCTATTAATTTGTCACAAACAATTACCCCCCTCCCCTAAGTATTAACATTTTTTTACGTAAATGTAAATATACGAATTTATATTATTAAAATTTATATTTAAAATTTATACATAAAATTTATATTATCTATATTATTAAATTTCATATTATTAAAAAATTTATATTATTAAATTTACATTTATATTACTTTCGTTATAATATTGCCATTTATTATTTTAGTAAATTAACATGTTTGCATTATTGACTGCTTG